AACTAAATATACTGAATTTAAAGTTTGTACACATATATACATGTTCTGACTTATTGTCATCCCTGTAATTAAGACAAGTATCAGTTATAATAATTATATTTGGCAGCAAATTTCTCACAAACAAAACACAAATATGATCATATTTGCTTTGAGGGAATTTACTTGAGGGAAGACGGCCTGGTGTGGTTCAAACCATGCAACACAGGTACAGAGGTCTGTCTGGGGGCGACACCGCTGCTGCACGATCCGTAAGGTTTACTCGTTTTCATACATTCGATAAAGAGCTTCAAGCACACAAAACAGAACTTCACCTTACATCGGGGACAAATAATGGATTTACAGAATTTCTTGCTGTGCTCCAGCAGTGAGCCACAGGTGGGACAGGCCCGGATGGAGGGACACCCAGGGACTCCCACCACAGACTCAAAGACAATATCTGGGCAGGTTTGCAGGGTTCTTAGGATCTGGTTGCAGCAGCCATCATTTCCACAACAGTCTGATCGTGGCTGTGGACCCTTCCATGTCCTCAAACACTGCCAACAAAATTTATAAGTCCTTCCCTTCTTTGCTGTGCACACTTCACAGCTGACACACAGGTTGGAGTCACTCTTTCTCATCACAAAGGATTTGCATCCAGGACACTATCACATAGACATAGTGAAAGAAAACAGTTAAGGTTTTATTATTATTATTATTATTTAATTCTAATACTAAGTAACAGTGTCACAAGAGCAACTAGTGAATATTATATTTTCAAAGGTACACTTACTGCTTTGATATGAAAGTTCTGTCTGGCAGCATTGAAGGCCAACGTTTCTTCAAAATGTTTCTTCTCTCCAGGAGTCAGAAGAGCCATTTTACAAACCTCCACATAAGGCCACTCAGCGGCACAACCAAACTGGCCACACACAAACTTGCTTTCACCCTGAAATGAAATATCAAAAAGTGCACAGTTTGAACAAAAAATCTGCATCATCGTGTCATTATTTTTCCTGCTATAAAATGACTTATATGTATCTCTACCCCATAATTTCCTTTAAAAATCTATGAAGACCCCTCCTCTCTCTCCACCCACTCACTGCAGATCAGCACACCAGCTCACACGCGGCTGTGCTCAAACGCTGTTGAGCTACTTTACACAAACACAATGGCAAGTTATTTTTGGAGTAATTCATTCACACGTTAGAACCTGAAACCGATTCTGAAGAAGAAAAGTGATACAGAAAGTCCCACCAGGAAGTCGATATGATTGGTCCCTTAGGTGTGTTACATATGAATCCCAGGAAGTCTAAATCTGTGTTTTTGAGACTGTCAGTGCATTGCAGTTTCAAGGTGGAAGGGCTCAGCCATACTGTGGATGAGGTGTCTAGTAGCTTATGTAACACACCATATGGACTTGTTAACAATACATAAAATAACTTGATCGTCTCTGGAACGGGTGTTTATAGAATATGAAAACTTCTTCAGCCGCACTGAACAGTAACAAGACCCTGATTATTATTATTCTCATTATTATCATTATTTTACCGATTCGCCTGAGCTTTCATAATGTACTTTGTGAACAGAAACTGTATTATTTAGAAATCAAGTTCACACCATCCATCACTAGTATCCTACCTGGTCCAGCTGCATGAGACACCATTTGGTGAGAGACGTCGGGGTCACAGCATGACCACAGGACATCTGAGCTCTTAGAGACTTGAAGCCTTCACACAAAACTGAGAAAAAGGACAGACAAGCGAAAAAAAAAAAAAGTTACACATAAACAAAAAGCAATATCTTGGTCATATAGTTGAACCCATTATATCTTGTGTCATTTCTTTGAGGAATTTAAAAAGGAGGTCTACTTACAGTCTAAGCCGTCTTCTCCATCCACAAATTTCAGTGTTTTATCACTTGGGTCGTAACATTTCTCCTGTATAGCTGCTGGAGTTGTCATTTTGGAGCCCATTTAAAAATGGTGCGTTTGAGTTTCCTGCAAATAACCAACAGCAGCAGGCGAGGAGCAACAAAATTACTTTCGGTTTCACTTCTAAAAGCAAACAATTTAGGGGAGGGGGTGTTGGGGGCACCAGCAGCTACATGTTGGATGTTCAATACAACAGTAAAACGCAGACTAGCAGACACTGAGGGTGCGCGTCCCGGTGCGTAAATCAACTAGAAACTCAGCTTTCAGACGGATCAGCCTTCAGATATATTAATTTCAGCTGAATCGGACGTATTTAACATGCAAATCAGTGATGCTGTGATTGAATCAGGCTGTGTTTTTACCTGTACGGGAGATCTGCGAGTGACCACCGTGTTTGGAGAGCTGTCGTCAGCGCGTAATGGAAAGGCTGCACTGCTGCAGCGCGTACGTAGGAGGAAGTGTGGACAAAATGCCTTAACAGCACAGACACATTTTTTAATAGTTGATGTGACAGTGGTTGCACGGTGAAGACGAACAACCTAAAAACCAAACATGCATGTACTTGTACCGTCGTTTTCTTTGATCAACAGATATAAACTACGGAACCCACAGTGTGGAAACGATGGCGTGTCGTGCTGCTATCATCCACGTGATTTCTCTTCACAGGCTGGAGATTAACTGACAATAAGCAGGGGACTTTCCAGCATGGCCGGTGTTCTGGGGGATTTCTGTTTTTATTTTTTTGCTACATTGCCACTTGTGTGGAAATATTTCTTTGTATGTCTTTCTAAAAAATATAAACATATATGTATAATATAAGATGATAATAATAAATGCTTGTTGATATGTCACTTGAATTAAGGCTATATTGCAAAATGTGTTGTTGTGACCCCACATTTATTCAAAGATTTGACTGTATACTTGCAATTTAACTTAGTCTAAAGCGAGAGTTGTGACTAACAGCACAAAAGCATAGAGAAATGCATTTAGAAATAAATAAATCAATAAGAGGAAGTTTTTGTGCAGCATTTCCAAAAATGAAAGTAATTCTGAATAAGAATTAAAAAGTGAAGTAAAAATCGCCTGACACAAGACATTTGCTCTCATTTTGGATGCTCAAACTTTGGTTTTTATGATATACATGACAATAAAGTCTCCTAAATGAGCAAACGGGGTCATGGTGACATGAAATATGATACAATGTGATAAAAGCGAAAGGACTGCCCCCTATTTTGGTGACAGTATAAAACAAAGACATCTGACTGAATGTGAAAGCTCTTGGAAAGGATCTCGGCGTCGCCTCACGCAGATCACAACAAAGAAAATGTGTCGAACGGACCAGCTGGTTCTCAGCTCCTACACAGGAGAGATGAAGACCATCAACCTGCTGCACAATACCAAGCAGCGCCTTCCATACGTGACTGTGGGTAGGCTGAAGCAGGAAGCAGTGAAGCAGTTTCCAAAATTGTCAGGTAAATACACACACACACAAACACACACATAAGTGATACTTTCTATTTTATGAAGGAAAATGCCCTATTTTGCTTTGCATGTTTTTCAAAACATAAACAAAATATTTTTCAAATCAACCCATATTGAAAAAGTGAACAGTTTTTAGTTGTGATTTCTTACAGTTTGCAATAGCAGATAATATGTAGTGAAATCACAGTAAGATGTAATAATTAACTTTTTTAAAAAATGTTTAAAAAACCTGTAAATAACAACGTAGCTAAAAATCTGTTTTTTGTTTTTGTTCTTTTTACAAATGCCAATTCGTTCTTTTATGTTTGGCCATAAAATTACTCATCACTGAAAAAAGTTTTCATTTACATGTTCATCGCAATAACTGCAAAAAATAATAAAATAAAAATCCATATTAAAACCTGTTGTTAGATTAGAGCGCACCTTATTGTTCACCAACAATGGGGGAACTCCGTTGTTGCAGCAGATACAGGAAAAGAGCACAAAACAGGAACAGGAAGAAGAGAGAACAAATAAAACTATAAATTGGAAGAGCTGAGAAATACAATACAATAGAGCTTTGCACTGTAGATCCATATATTGGAGACGATGATTTAAAATAAAATCTGATACAGTATGATATTGCACATGAGGTACATGTGTTGCACATGGCATATGGGATAGTGCACGTGAGAAAACTGGGTATAATCTTGTATATTATGCAAAGATGCAGTATGGAGAGAAGAACTCCGGCATGTTGTTATCGATAATAGTTGATGATAGTAATTTAACATATGGTATCGTGTTCTCATTTTAACAGCCTTTAATGTCAAAAAATACCCCACATCTTTAAAAAATACAGAAGTAAATTATAAATTCTAAGGAAGAAATTCTGTAAAATGAGACTTTTTTTTTTTAGGTTTCAGTTTTTACATTGTGCAACTTAACAAAACAGGATATTAAAAAAAAAAAACAAAAAAAAAACATGTATCGCAGAGCAGATCTACAAGACATTGCATGTATGACACTCTGTTCTCTCCTGTGTGTGTGTGTGTGTGTGTGTGTGTGTGTGTGTGTAGGATACAGCGCGGGTGATGTGAAGCTGATCTATATTGATAAGCAACTGGATAACGACAGTGCCACTCTGTCCGAATATAAAGTCAAGCCCCTCTCGACCATCCAGATGGTGACGAAGGTTGATGGAGGTTGATGGAGAGGTTGAGCCCTCAAAGCATAAGGATCATCAAGCATAATCATCATCATCATCATCATCATCATCATCATCATCATCACCGTGATCATCATCATCATCATCATCATTATTATCATCATCATGCATCTATATCAGCAAGCCTCACATTTGGATGAATGATGCAAAAAACACAAAGTGGACAAGACATGTTATTTTACACAGAGACACGATTAAATCATATAGTCTATTTTTATATGTATATACGTCACCGTTTCAAATTTGCATTTTTTGGCACTTCCATTAAATTGTGTTTTTGTAGAGTTTACACACACACAATTCAAGACCAAAAGTGTGATTTAAGAAGGATTGCAGGTTCTAAATGTATATGGAAGTCAAACAGAAACCCTTTCAATAATAATGTTTTCATCATTGGATTTTTTTATTTTTTTTTATTTTATTGACTAACTGTTTTAATAAACAGTAATATTTGGCATTATAATTTGTGATACAACAATGTGTGAATAATTATCATTACCCTGAACCTATAAAGTCCTTTTGTATTATAAAGTTGCGCTGTTAGTAGTGCAGTGTGGAATTAATGTATAAGTGTGCATAAAGGGCTCATCTGCTCTCCCAGAAGGAAGCACTGTGAACATCTGTGAGCAATTTGCTTTTTTGAATAAACTCTTCTCACTTAATATTGTATTGTGTCATAAGTTTAAATTAGAGATAAAACCAAATCACAGCTTTGTTTTT